ATATATATATATATATATATATATATATACTTAAATATAGAAAAAACAACTTTTAATGGAACTTAAAGTTTCATGCCTATCGGCAATCATCAGCCATGAAGTACATAGGTACTAGTATCATTTCTTTCAAATCGATTAATATTAGTTTATAAACACGTTATTTTAAGAGAGTTTTAGAATTGAACAGGCGCATATAATACAAAATATTTACATTTATAGATTAAAAATTGTATAATTAGTGTTATAATGTGCCTTGGTATTAAATATTGGCATATTTTTCCTAGATTGTAGATGGACACGTATCATACCATTTCTATTTATCTTGCGACAAACTGATGCGGTAACTTCTGTCACCATCTTCACACAACGTTCCACTGCTTGCATAATTCTTTCTTTTCTAGCTCTCTGTATACGCCTAACACCTAAGTCTCGGATATGTGGCTCATCATCTGATACCATTGCCAGAAGGATATTCTCTTGATAACCAAAGAATGCATTTGTTTGAATTACTTTGTCTACTACTTTACGGAATGGAGCTGACAGATATTGTGATTTTGCAATTGTGCTGTACAGATGCTTGTTGCCATGAAATATAGAAGACTCTTTCTTGATGATGAACCACATAAGGACATAAACTCGCATAATGAACGTCGATAAAATTACCAAATTTGACGAGGGACTGCTGGCAGAAATATATATTCTGAGGATCCTATTGGCAGTGGTGAGGCACCTAGAATGAGCCAGTTTCCCAGGGCTGCACTTCTCCAGGTTGGTAGAATAAATACCACTTAATACTGCTTGGCAGATGTCAAAAAGATAAAGTTGATCTGTACTGAGCACCTTTTTGTCTACCTCTAGCATTTCTACATTATGGTTTATAGGTTGAAAATCAACAACCTTTATGACCTCACAAGTTTCAAGGGACTTGAAAGACCAATTAAGTCTGAATAGCATCTAGGACCAGTTGTTGGATTATCTAACTCTGCAAGCAAATGGCGTAGTAGAAGCTCGTTTGTATGTAGCAAACAAATTACCCATTGTAGAGGTAGTTGAAGTTCTAACTCAATTAATCTAATAACACCACCCTTATTTCCAGTGTTTACATTTGTTCCATCACAGCCCAGCACTTGCAAACAATCCAAAATAATATTGTGCTCTTTAGAATACTGTATAACTGCAAATTTTAGTGATTCAGCTGTTCCGCAGTGTTTCAATTAACCTCCTCCAGGTTCCTGAATCAAGGATATATGCTCCTCCATCACTATGGCTCTCTTATTAGTGTCAAATTTGAGTGTTCGGTCTTTTTGATATCAAAGTACAACTTTTCTTGGATTTCACCAACTTTCTGGTTATCCCTTGTTTTTATGCGCTCACGCCTGATCTTGCTGCGGTCAACAACTTGTGTTTTGTTACCATATGAAATAATGCCAATATCCTCAAGTACAGCTGACGCCACAGCTGCAGCTGATCTGTCTGAGAGTCCATGGCAGTCACAGGCTAATGAAAGAGAAAGGAGAGACACTGCATCTGCTTTGAAGATGATGGTGTTGATGCCTGGGTGTTTTCAACGATAGCAGGCCGTTTCGAAGTAATAGGCTCAGTAGAAATGAAAGAATCTAATGACACTGCATATTTAAAGCTTGAGCTCTTTTGCTTTGGATCAGCCTTTTCAAAATCAATTTTTTCTGCAGTTTTGCTGTAACTTTTTTCTCTATTGAACCTATAGCCATTTTGCGTTCACTCCTTTAATCTTCCAGGAAAGGGTGCTCCATAGCTAGTACCATACTAACTTTGGCACAGCAGCATTTCTTTAGATCTTTGCATTGCCAAGCAGATATGTCAAACAGTTTTGCTAGTTTTTCCTTGAAGAGCTGAAATTTGTTTTTTCTGTTTTTTCCTGTTTGTTGGAGATTTTTGCAGCTTTTTGTTCTGCTCATAAAGGTTAAAAACTCTCTTTGTCAAAGATAGAATTGATGACACAGTTGGTATGTTACATTTTTCTCAAATTCTTAAGACCTCTATAGCGGTTGAACCTGCTTCATTCTTTTTGTTGGTTTTTCCATGAGGTTTCTTTAAATTTATAATATATACATATATATATATATATATATATATATATATATATATATATATATATATATTATATATATATATATATATATATATATATATATATATATATATATATATATATATATATATATATATATATATATATATATATATATATTAACGGTTAATATATGTATATATATATATATAAATATATATATTTATATATATATATATATATATATATATATATATATATATATAATATATATATATATATATATATATATATATATATATATATATATATATATATATATATATATATATATATATATATATATATATATATATATATGTTACAGGGTTGTTCATTCTTATATGCGCGTCTATTCATTTTTATATGCGCCTTTATTCATTCTTATATGCGCATTTATTCATTTTTATATGCGCCTTTATTCTTTCTTATATGCGCATTTATTCATTTTTATATGCGCATTTATTCATTTTTATATGTGCCTTTATTCATTTTTATATGCGTTTTACATAAGCAATTGTAAAAAAGCAATTTGAACAAAAGAAAATCATTTAAGCTATTTGTTTTGAAAAACAAATTGCTTAAATGATGAAAACCAAGTTTATTTTTTCAAAACATATTTTCCTTATTTCCAGGTAAACGAGGTTAAAAATACTTAAAACGAAGACTTTTTACATTCGACGATGGTTTATTTAATTTAGTATTAGTTCTTTGGAATTTTATTATTAAAATTCTTGATTGATTAAGTTACTATTTATCTAATTATACATTTATCTAGATTTAAGTTTAATTATTTTTAATTATTATTAATATCAATACTTAATAGCTGTAATACTTAATAGCTATACCATGTAATATAATATATAATAGCTATACCATGAGAGGCTAGTGTTTGCCTAATAGAAAGACTCCAGTGGAATTTACAATTGTCCATAATAAGCACCGACGCTTCAACCTTTGCATTCCTAATCGCTGGTGCCACCATTGTAGTTATGAAAGTACAAAAAAAATCTGCATTCCAGCCTCCAGTTTTTATTTTATAAGCAAGCACTCCCATTGTTGAAACAGCACAAATTAAACTAACATTCTTACCACGATTTGCAGGTGACTGTAATATTGCTGGCGTACCTCTTAGCAAACAACCATATGTGCTGTTAGTGTGCACATTAAATCCAGTTTCATCCAAATAAATAAGTTTTTCACCTGAAGTTCCGTTTATTTTGCTTGCAAATGCATAGCGTGCATTTATAACTGGTGTTGAGTTTCGTTCTTCGGCACATGCACAACACGTTTTCTTGATAAATCTGAGCGTTTGAGTTTTCTTGAAATAGTAGACTGAGAGATATTGAAGCCTGCTGCAGAATGATATTTTTTTTATTGCTTCTTGCGTGCAAAGATTGTTTTCTTGTACGCAGAGTTCGATAATATTTTTTATTTGAGAGTTTATAGGTCTTTTACCTCGTTTTTTATCAGAAAACGACTTGAATGCAGTCATGTCGTCGAATTATCCTCTGTTTAACTTAACGACAAAATTTTGAACTGCGCGCTTCGATAAATTAAGAGAAGTGGAAATGCTTGTTTTAGATTGATTTCTTTCAATTAAATGCTTAAGCATTTTCAATGTGCTCTTTTGTAACATTTTCCCTTGTTTTACGATTGGTACTGCTATTTTCTATTCCATCAATAGGGATGTATAATTTGATATTAATAATATTTATAAATAATTAAATTTAAATCTAGGTAAATGAATAATTAGATAAATAATAACTTAATCAATCAAGAGTTTTAATAATAAAATTACAAAAAACTAATACTAAATTAAATAAACTATCATCGAAAACAAAGAACTAATACTAAATTAAATAAACCATCGTCAAATGTAAAAAGTCTTCGTTTTAAGTATTTTTAACCTCGTTTACCTGGAAATAAGAAAAATTTACTAAAAAATAAACTGTTTTTTCAAAACAAATTGCTTAAACGATTTTTTTTTGTTTAAATTGCTTTTGTAAAACGCATATAAGAATGAATAAAGGCGCATATAAAAATGAATAAATGCGCATATAAGAATGAATAAATGCGCAATAAATGCGCATATAAGAATGAATAAAGACGCATATAAAAATGAATAGACGCGCATAAAAGAATGAATAACCCTGTAACATATATGTATATATATATATATATATATATATATACATATATATATATATATATATATATATATATATATATATATATATATATATATATATATATATATATATATATATATATATATAATATATATATAAATATATATATATATATATATATATATATATATATATATATATATATATATATATATATATATATATATATATATATATATATATTATATATATATATATATATATATATTTTTATATAACTATACATTGAAATATATATATATATATATATATATATATATATATATATATATATATACATATATATATATATATATATATATATATATATATATATATATATATATATATATATATATATATATATATATATATATATATATATATATATATGTTCTTTATAAACAAAGCAGCTCTTACGAATATTTTCCCGCATCAATTTTGACTAGACTCAGACTCCCGCATATGAGTTCGACTAATACTGTATTGTTAAGTTAACAATACATTTGAAACTTATATTTTAAAATTAGCAGTTTGAAAATTTTTTCATTGAAGCCCTGTGTATCTATTTTTTTTTTTTTTTAAATTATCATTTGAGCGCCCCTTATGATCCTGCGCCCAGGTAAAAATACCCAGTGACCCCCCCCCCCCACGCGGCGGCCCTGTATATATATATATATATATGTTGACATATAATTGTAGTATTATTTGACAAACAATATGTAAAATAGCTTGCTTACATTTTCCTTTAAATACACCATATGCCGCATGACATTTAGTTCTGTTGGCAGTTGCACATCAGAGAGTGGCTTTGAATAGCCAAAGATTGGATGACCTGTTTTAGATCTTAACATTTTAATTACTGAAATTTAAAATAAAACTCAAATATATAAATGGTGATAATTATTATTACTGACTAAATGATAACAAGTATTATAGATATTATAATTAATATTATTATTTATTAACTGAATACTAACCTTTAAAAATATGGTTAGGGAAAAGTAGTAGAGCGTGGATTTTATTATGTGCTAAATATTTACTTTTTTATTTCAAAAAATATCTTTTAAATGAGTTAAAAGTATTACAATAACCTTTTCAATGCAAAAGTGAGTATTTTGATCTTAATACTAATGGATAATACAAACATACCGAATATAATATAACTTCAAAGCTTCTTCAAAAAAAATATTTTAAAAAAATTTTAAGTTTGCGCTTTCAATAATAAGTAATATCCCGACGGGCATTTTTTTTTAAAAGTTACGATTTAAACGTATTTTAAATGTATGTTAAACGTCTTTTAAACATTAATGTTTAAAAGACGTTTAAAAGACATTTAAAACACATTTAGAACGTAACTTTTAAAAACAAATGCCCGTCGGGATTGGTCAAAAATTGGTGCTGGAGGTAATTCTAGTCCAATTTTGCTCATCCTGGTCTCATTTTTTTATTTTTTCTATAATTATTATAGAAATCAGAGAGAAAATATAAATTTCTAAAAAAAGTTGTTTTCACTCCACCCTAATGTATATATATATATATATATATATATATATATATATATATATATATATATATATATATATATATATATATATATATATATATATATATATATATATATATATATATATATATATATATATATATATATATATATATATATATGTATATATATATATATATATATACATATATATATACAGGGCTGGACTGGGCCGCCGGGACACCGGGACGATTCCCGGTGGGCCGCCTGGTTTTTAGCAGGTTGTTTTGATTTGCTTTTGACTTCAAACGCGATTTGTGGCTAGCGATAATTATGCGATACCATCCGCAGTGAGATATTTCGTATTTTTAATGATTGCATTTTGTGAAGTGAATCTTTTGAAGTGACAGGTCGTGTAACGGTGAAAACGGCATTTGAAAACAGTGTGTGAAACTACGTGTAGCATAAAAGTGAAAAGTTGATGATTGCGTATTCGGGAAGCGGGAGCGATCGGAGCGATCGTTGACCACGGAAATAATATTTAGTTGCGAAAAACTGGCCAGATTTTTTAGTCGTTTTGAAAACATTTCATTTTAAGTATGTTTCCATGTTTGTCCGCAAAATAGTTATAAAGTTAAAATGTAGACTTAAATGGGCCTCTAATATTATAGTCTTCTCCTTACGTATATATTTGATAAGATGAGTGAAGATTTGAAGTGGAAAAGTAAAGGCGGGGCAGAAAAGCAACGTGAAAAGAAACAAAAGCTTCTTCTTCAAAGGGGAGAAAAGTTAACCGAACTTTTTAAAAAAAGATAACCGAACTTTTTAGACTAAGTACCCCCACCCAGTTTGGTGGTGATACTCTGGTTGATGATTTAGGTTCTCAAATTTCTGACAGCAATCAAGCCGGTCCTGCCGTCTCAGCCTCCGTGAGCTGCACTGTGCTAACTCCATCCCAGAAATCTGTATCCTCTGACTCCCGGCCTCAGAATCAGTGTTCTGAAATTTTCATGCGTTTACAATCGCAGTGCCTTGAATCATTTTTCAAGAGCCATCCGGTTCAACCAAAAGAGGACGGGGAAAATTTACCATTTTCAAATGTTCGTCGAGTGTTTTATAGAAGCCAAGACGATATCAATAGGGTTTGGCTTTCCTACTGTCACAGTTCGAAGGCCATGTTTTGCACAGTGTGTCTGGCCTACAGCAAAGCTAGTGAATCCAATGCATTTACTGATGCCATGAATGATTGGAAGCATGTTCACCAACGAATCGAAGAACACGAATCGAGTAAACACCATTGCAGGAGTGTAGAGGCACACATTATGTCGAGCAATGAAAAGGACGTATATAGCTTGCTTTTTTCAAATCAAAAAAATGTGAGAGCTGCTCAAGTTAAAGAAAAACGGCAAGTTCTAGAACGTGTGATTTTCCAATAAGTTTAACAAGAAATTGTTAAACTTATTGGAAAGCGAGGACTTAGTTACAGATCTATCAATGACGCAGCCTACTGTCTGGACAGTAGGCTGCGTCATTGATAGATCTGCATAGGCAATTGTACTAATTCGACAGGCAAGGGTATGTTCAAGCTGTTCCGGGATGAAATTGTCAAAATGGGCATAAACATTGAAAACTGTGAGGGAAACTCTACAGACGGGGCGGCAAACACGAGGGCCAATATTCCGGTTTCACAAAATGGCTCAGTGAGGTATCCCCAAACCAAGTGCATGTGTGGGGTTACGCTCATGTATTGAATCTTGTTCTTGTTGATACCACACAAACCACCAAAGCTGCTATCAGTATATTTCAGCTTATAAACAAATGTGCTGTTTTCTTGCGCGAATCATATATACGAATGGGCATATGGGCGTCGAAACAATCAAACAATAGAAGACTAAATGTAATTGGAAAGACACGCTGGTGGGCAAAGGACCATGCATTAAAAAAAATATTTGGAAGCTTCAACAACCCATCGACGTCCTTGTATATTGAGCTGTTTGAAACTTTACAAGAGTTAGCCTTCTCTGAAGACTTTAACCCAACTGTTTGCGACACCGCCCAAACCCTAATAGATAAGTGCATCTCATTTGAAACAATTCTTACCGTTCAAGTTTTTTTGCGTATATTCCAACACACAGCATCACTTTCCAAGTACCTGCAGACAAGTGGGATGGGCGTGCTCCAAGCCTACCGAAACATTGACTGCACTATCAAGGCACTGCGAGACGTGTCCAGAGACTTTGATGGCATTAATGCGAGTGCTAAAAAATTTGTCGAGTGGGCCAACAACTCATTGGAAGATCTGAAAATTGATGCGACGGTTGAAGCTGCATTGCCAGAGAAACGAGTTTGCGTCCCAAAAGCAATGAGTGGTGAGCGACGCACTCACGAGGCTGTCGGAGATCGCGCAATTGATTGCTACAGGATAACGGTACACAACTGCGTTATGGACAAAGTAGTGAAAACTTTAGAAGAACGCTTTAAAGCTCAAGACACGTTGTTCGCTGACATGGCGTGCTTGAATCCGGAAAATTTCGACGATATCAAGAAAAACGGTATCCGACCTACTGCCTTAGTATGTCTCAGCAGCATTCTAACAAAATTTAATAAAGATGCAACAGCTTCAAATTTACAATCCGAACTCATCGATTTTTCGCTCGAGTGGAGCAAATTTAAGAAGACCGTTCCTGAAGAGTATTTGGGCATGAACTTAGCGGAAAACCGAAACGACAACGATGAATTGGAGAACGACGAGGAAACTGCAGTTTCTTCTTCGTTCTCTGAAGACAAAGAAGCTCATGGTAAATGCAAGAGTTGCAAAAATTGCCCCGTCTGTTGCTTCACGGTTTTACACAAATACAATTTCTACAGCAAAGCCTACACCCATTTGTACAATGCTTATAAGCTCTTGCTCACTTTATCGTCTACTCAAGTTGCGTGTGAACAGTCCTTTTCCAAATTAAAATACATTAAAAATAGACTGCGAAGTTCAATGTCGTCCACGCATTTAGAAGCTTTCATGCTGATACCTGTCGAAGTAGATGTTATGGTTGGGCTGTCCAACGAAGACATCATTGACTCGGTTGCAGATATCGCACCTGGGCTAAAAACACATCTGGTCCTTTGATCCACTACCATCCACATTCGGTAAGTTTCGATAATATGGCGTCAGAAACATTATGTTATTACGGACGTTACCAAATCATAATTGATGGGTTATTTTTTTTGTTAATATCGAGTGCAACACATTATAACCACAGAATTCTAGAGACAGCATGTATACCTTTTATGATTGCAATACAGATTCTATTGGTCGAATGCAGTTTTGCACTAACTATACTATGTATAAGGTACGTGCTATAAATATTACTGTTAAAGCATCAAAGTCGATTATCAGATGTTTTTGTGCAACTTAGTCAAATAATTGTTTTGTAGTAGAGCAGAGGGCTTGCACATTATAGTATAGTTGTGACTTTTCGAGCGATATTTTCGACTACCTATTAAAACATATTGAAACTTCTATATTATACCGTATGGTAAATGGTAGCTATATACCTATATAGATATATATAAATATATATTATGCAAGAATAAAAATGTGAAGCAGTCTACAATTTGTAGGCCTTAAAAATGTCGCCGTAATTTTATCTAACTCCTGAACATGATACAAATTTTTTTGCTGCTGCTATGCAAGTCGGAAATTCCCAGCTGAACCCCCCCCCCCCTCACTCTTCCCCGCCCCTTAATGACTTAGTATTGCTGTATGTGGCTGGACCGCTTGGTTTACAGTCCCGGGCCGCTTGACCACCCCCAGTACAGCCCTGTATATATATATATATATATATATATATATATATATATATATATATATATATATATATATATATATATATATATATATATATAGTTTGTCAAAAAAGTGACCTCCTGATGATTTTTTAATAAAAAAAAATTTTTGTATGCTTAAATTTAGATTTTTGACCTTAATTTTTTTTTAATATTGAATTTATATCAAAAAACTTTTTTATAACAAAAAATTAATATACTTATACTTAAAACAAAATTTATCCAATAAATTAGAAAAAGCGTATGTCAAAAAAGTGTATCACCCTCTTAAATAATTATTTTGCTAATATAATATTAATAGTCTATTTGTGCAACGTTTGTCTTGATGCAAGGCAACTTTTAGGCATCATATCTACTAAGTTTTAAAGCCATTTTGTGTCGAATTTTGCCCACTACTCAATTAGTATTGCCTTTATTTGCAACAAAATGGTTGGTTTTTGATCAGCTACTTTAATTTTAAAAAAGTTCCATAAATTTTCATTTTATTTTAGGTATGGTAACTGAGGAACCCAATCTAACATCTTAATACTGTTGTTTTTTTTAACTACTGAGTAGCTAACTTAAATATGTGTTTAGGATCTTCATCCTGTTGAAAAATAAAGTTACAAGAAAAGTCAGCACTTTTGGCGCTAGATCTCAGTTTTCGCTTCATAATATTAGTATAATCCTCATTTTGTCATTATTCCGTCAATGAATTCGATTTCACCAATACCACTCCAAGCAAAAGAGCCCTAAATCATCATTCGATCTTTGATAAGAGGAAAAT